TCGTCATCAGACTTGTCATCGGACTCATATGGACTCGTCATCAGACTTGTCATCGGACTCACATGGACTCGTCATCAGACTTGTCATCGGACTCACATGGACTCGTCATCAGACTTGTCATCGGACTCACATGGACTCGTCATCGGGGCCTAAATAGGAACGAGCAGTAAGCAGGATACCTGTGTTACCTGCTTACACCAACAACCCTGCCTTCCCCTAACGAGTTTAGCGCTTTTCATATCTGTGATAAAAAAAAATCCACAAATAACACGACTCTTTGCCCTTCCTCTCTATGGACATTATACTTCCGGGGAAGCGCTAAGCCTGTACGAGCTGATACTATACCTGGAGAGTGGGAGGTAATCAGGCTGAACTAAAAGGAAAAGTAACTCTAACTCATTGAATCAAGAGCTTTTCACCGGTATCAAGAACGTGATGTGGGGGCCACTAACGCTGCTGTCATCTGGTTGTCACTGAACAATATTAAAAAAATTGTTGATTTTTTTTCTGTCTGGCGACATTAACGTCGCTAATGGATGGCTTCGTTAACACCACTCGTAGTGGCGCGTAGTGACGCCAGCAGGATGGTTGTACGCTAATGCGTCAGCTAGAAGTGATGTGTTGGTCGAGTGCTGATGGGGGTGGTTGGGTGTGTTGACGGACGGGTGGTGATGGTGTTGCTGGTGGTGGTGGTGGTGTTGCTGGTGGTGGTGATGGTGTTGCTGGTGGTGGTGATGGTGTTGCTGGTGGTGGTGGTGGTGTTACTGGTGGTGCTGCACTAGAGACGCTGTGTGCCCTGCAATAGCACCACCCTCTCTGTGGCACACGTGCCACTGACAATTAAGTTAAATCACACGTGCAGTGACGGCGAGGCAGAGGGCAAGAAAGCTTTGTGGAAATAAATGGTATAAAATACCGACACAATGAAAATATAAACACATATGCAGTATAATGTGATCCTTTATTGACAACGTTTCGCCCAGACTGTGAGCTTTTTCAAGTCACAAACAGATCTGCTTGTGACATGAAAAAGCCCACTGTGTGGGTGAAACGTTGTCAATAAAGGATCACATTTTACTGACATATGTGTTTATATTTTCAAGAAAGGCGTGTGGTGGCGAGTAGCCAGGAAGGCGAGGAAAGGGGGCGGAAGCGGCTAGCTACGGAGGCGAGGGGGGCGTGTGGTGACGACTGGCCAGGTAGGCGAGGATGGCGTGTGGTGACGACTGGCCAGGTAGGCGAGGATGGTGTGTGGTGACGACTGGCCAGGTAGGCGAGGATGGCGTGTGGTGACTACTGGCCAGGTAGGCGAGGATGGCGTGTGGTGACGACTGGCCAGGTAGGCGAGGATGGCGTGTGGTGACGACTGGCCAGGTAGGCGAGGATGGCGTGTGGTGGCGAGCCAGACAAGCGAGGGGTGTTTAACGGCTCACTTCACATTTAAGTTTACTAAGTCATTATCCTCAGATCAATAGCTGAGTCAATTAACACCTGAACAGGTGACAGGTGGGTGTGAGGCTGACACACTTACACAAACCGACGGCAGAACAGCTGCTGACAATACCTGCACAACACCTGCTGAAGGGTCCCACAGATAACTTTTCTCTTCACCAATACTGTTGCCTTGAGAGTATTTACTGTGATGTATTGAACAAGAGTTTCTGTTTTTCCAGTGAGGGTGATTGCAACACACACACTCTGACGACACTGGAGGACAGGAGGGTTAGAGGAGACATGATAACGACATACAAAATACTGCGTGGAATAGACAAGGTGGACAGAGACAGGATGTTCCAGAGATGGGACACAGAAACAAGGGTCACAATTGGAAGTTGAAGACTCAGATGAGTCAAAGGGATGTTAGGAAGTATTTCTTCAGTCATAGAGTTGTTAGGAAGTGGAATAGTCTGGCAAGTGATGTAGTGGAGGCAGGAACCATACATAGCTTTAAGACGAGGTATGATAAAGCTCATGGAGCAGGGAGATAGAGGACCAAGTAGCGGTCAGTGAAGAGACGGGGCCAGGAGCTGAGTCTCGACCCTTGTAATCACAAATACATGAGAAAATAGGTGAGTACACACAGATACACACAGACACACAGACTCAACACACACACACACACACACACACACACACACACACACACACACACACACACACACACACACACACACACACACACACACACACATTGTTGAAAAGCGAGGTGCATGTTGTAAGATTTTGCAGAAAATCATATTAACCTCACTGTTTTTTAAAAGAAAATGAATTCAAATTCTCATCACAGACAAGATTTGTAGGGGACAACTTTTATTTACTATTTTTTTCAAGGATCTCAGATTATCTTGTGTATTCCTTGAAGTTTACGCGACAATATTCACGATTTGTTATAAAAAAAATTACAAAATGTGTGGAATGACTGTTGTTAATTCTAAAGAGGCGCTCTCAGTGAGGCTTTTGTTTAATTCTTGTGTTTAAAAATCTTAAGAAACAATATCTGCGATAGCACCTGTAGGATACCTGAAGGGGGTTCCGAGGGTCAACTCCGCCCTCGGCCCTGACCATGACCAGGCTTCGTGGTGGATCAGGGCCTGATCAACCAGCCTATTTACTGCTGGTCACACGCGAACCGACGTACGAACTACAGTCCGGTGGTCAGGAACTGACTTTAGGTGCCTGTCCAGGCCCTTCTTGAAGACAGCCAGGGGTCTATTGGTAATCTTCCTTATGTATGCTGGGAGGTAGCTGAGCAGCCCCTGGGCCCCTGACACTTACTGTGTTGTCTCTAGCGTGCTTCTGGCGCCCTTGGTTTTCATTGGGGGTGGGGGATGGTGCACTGATGTCTGTACTTCGATTAAATTGTAATCCGAGTATATTGTATTTGATAATGGTATACTTAGTATCAGATCATCATTATTACTGATGATGAGGTCAGGTATATTTTCCAGTCTTGTTGGCTCCACTATTTCTTGGTGAATTTGTTTCAGATATTTAATAGCTCATGTGTGTGTGTGTGTGTGTGTGTGTGTGTGTGTGTGTGTGTGTGTGTGTGTGCGAATTTTCATCTGAGCTGCGTCCTGGAGTGATCTCTCCTAAAACATTGACATGCCTGCTGTTAACCTCGTCGAATTCACATGTTGAGGGCCGGGTTCGATTCCACAGTAAGTGAACTTGTACGGTGTTTCTTCAACTGTTTCTTGTTCCCCTATACAGCAAATGACAGGTGTTTTTCGAACTTGTTCCAAACCTGCAGACACACTGGACCTAAAGAGGCCGGTCACAGACCGGGCCGTGGATGCGTTAACCCTTGGACTGTCTTCTTCACACTGAAGGTACTCCTAGGTATCCATATTTCCCTTTATGATATCTCTAGTCGAAATCACCAGCAATAAGATATTTGTGGCCGGGGTTGGAAGATTTTTCAGACAGTAGTGAATTTTCAAGGGCTGTTTCTCGAATTTTGGAGAAGTTGTGTCTGGTGGCTTGTATACAGCCACAATGACAAGGTTTTGGTTTTCAATCTTTACTCCCAAACCTTCAACCACATCATTTGTGGTATTTAATAATGCCGAGTAAATGACCGTCTCTGTGAAATACTGGTTAATTTTCCCTTGTTGCCTGTTCTTTCTGTCACATATGAAAAAGTTGTACTCTAGGATCCATATTTCGTTGTCAAAGTGATCATTTCTTTGAGTCTCTGTGAAAGCCACAAACATTGCATTTGACTCTGCGAGCATTCCGCTGATGAAGGGCATTTTGTTGCTTATTGATGGCCTTTGATCATATGTATTTGCAAATACAAATGTTGTCGTATTGATGGTATATAAGGGGCTTTATCTACTTGCACTAATATCTGTTTTTTTTACAGTGGAGACTACTGACTGTGCCTCAGCTCCTGTAGTGATCCTAAATGGTGTAGTATTTCATTCCTGCCAGTTTTCTCTTCTGACACTAAAAAATCTCTTTCTCTAGAGTGGCTGTAACTATCCTGCTTCATTGTCTTTCTCTTGAGTGGTTGTAACTACCCTGGTTTATTCTCTTTCTCTAGAGTAGTTGTAACTACAATGGTTTATTCTCTTTCTCTAGAGTGGTTGTAACTACCCTGGTTTATTCTCTTTCTCTAGAGTGGTTGTAACTACCATGGTTTATTCTCTTTCTGTAGAGTGGTTGTAACTACCATGGTTTATTCTCTTTCTCTAGAGTGGTAGAAACTACCCTGGTTTATTCTCTTTCTCTAGAGTGATTGTAACTACCATGGTTTATTCTCTTTCTCTAGAGTGATTGTAACTACCCTGGTTTATTCTCTCTCTCTAGAGAGATTGTAACTACCATGGTTTATTCTCTTTCTCTAGAGTGGTTGTAACTACCATGGTTTATTTCCCAAGGTCTGTGTGCTCTGTATCTTGTCGTCCACATTAGGTGGTATGCTTGACAGTATGTGTTGCAGCATTGTCGTTCATGGACTGATGAACAACACATATTGATGAAGTGGACACTTGTGCAACACTTGGGTATCTTTACTGTGGAAACATTTCCACAATAAAGATACCTAAGTGTTGCACATGTGTCTCATCCATTATCCTGTCGGTTTCCTAACCATTTATCTACAGTACTATAAACTCTAGATATCAGACTAAATATTTGCCAGTGAGATAACATAAATGTGATATATACACTAATAACCAGCACATAGGAGAGAGAGAAGCTTGTGACGGTGTTTCGGAGCCAGTATACTGGTTCTCATCTAAATGGTCCGAGTCGGACCGAAACGTCGTCATAAGCTCCTCTCTCCTATGTGCGGGTTATTTGTGTATTGTTCCAGTCACGGTATTGTTAGTTTTTGTTCTTTGTGAATGTGATATTTGTGTATGGAGAGGCAGCAACAATTGGATGACGGCAGTAGTTCCAGGCGCCACCGTTGCTGAAGATGACGCCTGGAGTAGATGGGTGTGTAATGGTTCTAACGTGGACGAGGATGGATAAGGAAGGAGGGTACTCACCGGCCCTGACGTGGACGGGGATGGAGAGGATAGTGCCGGCGGCAGAGGCGGCGCGGCAGGAGTAGGTGGCGGCGTGGACGGTGGCAGTATAAGCGTAAGGTGGGAAGGGCAGGAACTGCAACGATCCATTAGCGTGGACGACCCTCACGTCCGGCACGTCAACCACCACCTCTCCTCCACTCAACCACTCAACACGCTGCAACCATGAAAAGAAAACATGTCAGCTGTCACTCACCGATCGTTCAGTCCAGCAGCAAGTGAATGCTGCAGCAGCCTCCGAAGCTCTAAACCCGATTTTGGTGCACACAAAAAAAAATAGTATCGGAGGCTCGATACTCCATCCACTAAACCACAGACAAGCATGCTATTATGTTAGGTTAGGTAAGGTTGGTTGGGAAATAGAAAAAGTGTTTCCTGACGAGAGTCTTAGTCATACGATGGCACACCGTTGGAACTTTGGTCATCTGATCGAGGCCTTCCGCTGGCTTACCGGTCCACCCCTTTAAAAATTATGGTGCATGCTATTTTTATTCACATAATCCCCTACATTGCAGCCATTATTTAAGCTTCGCTATTCATCAATCTCCTACAATAAATATAGGAAATATTAATGGGATTAAATTATGAAAGTACTTAATATGATGTGTATCGATCGCTGTACAATGGGAAAAAATATTCCCTTTGTCCCATAATTCCAATCAGCTCTACCTCAATGATCCTAGAAAGGTATCCCATTCATCCCATAAGCCCATTTCCCTGTTCTAAGTGATCTTGTTAAGGTATCCCTTTTATCTTATCTGTCCAGTCCCCTCTTCTCAATGATCCTAAAAAAGTGACCCTTTATGTCCCACAAAATTAGCGCCCAGTGTCTCAGGTGGAAACGTACTACATCGACGGGGTGGAAACGTGGTACATCGAAGGATGGAAATGCCTCCAGTACGTACATAATTTCACTCATTAATAAGCAGATGCTGACAGGTAATCCTGAAAATGTTATAATACGTTATGTATGATCTTATTGTGGGAGTTAACGCTGGAACATCTCACAATTACCTCTCAATTCCATGACGTTTCGATCAGCCCAGGACTGTCGTTAATCCGCGAAACACCGTCTAAAGTTTTCTTTTTCAATCGTAGGATTGATCTGAAATGTTTTATCCACGGTACTGATTTCTTTTACCCTTCGTTTATATAACTGTTCATCTGTTTAACAATATCGTAATCATGGGGAAGATTTTAACTCATAAGAACCATACGCCCCATGGGAAATGGGAGGTAATCAGATTAGAACCCGGGGAATATAGCCAAATTCCTTCGAACACAAACCCTTCACCAACATCAAAGTATTAGGATACCTTTGATGAGTTTCCAGAGTTTTTCTACTTCCCGGAGCCCGGCTCTGGGCCAGACTAGCCTGCTTTTTCTCTCTTCAAGCAGGCTGCTGCTGCTGCTTCTGCTCCTGCTGGAAGCCCTTCTGTTGAATGATTGTGAACTATGAGCCTGTTCAATAATCTGCACTCTGGGAGGATTCGTGTTTTCGCTCTCAAGAATACTTGACATAACAGTGACAGACTTAATTTCTACAGAGTACAGCATCTAATTTACTTAGGATTAAGTGATATGTAAGAAACATGTGCAACAGTTAGGTATCTTTATTCCGAAACGTTTCGCCTACACAGAAGGCTTCTTCAGTCGAGTACAGAAGAGTAGCAGAAGCAGGAGAGATGTGAAGACGATATAATCAGTCCATCACCCTTGAAGACGTAGTTTGGAGGTGGTCAGTCCAAAACTGCGTCTTCAAGTGTGATGGTCTAATTACATCGTCTTCACATCTCTGCTGCTTCTGCTACTCTTCTGTACTCGACTGAAGAAGCCTACTGTGTAGGCGAAACGTTTCGGAATAAAGATACCTAACTTATCAACCTGCCGGCATTGTATAACATTGTCATATTCACTAGCAAACCTTCATGATGCAGAGCATTTTGAACAACATTAATGGTAACCTATAACTTCTGAACAATTAAGTTAGTAGGTTAGCTTACTAGAATGCTATGGCTAGCAATCTTTGATATTTGATGTTATGTGATAGGTTAAGGTAAATCTTGCACAGTTTTACATTTAGTATACTCTTACCTTTATAATCCAATGTGCTTTTTAATAATTCATAAATACTGTAAGATTTTCTTCCCAGCGTAGGAGACCTGGTCTGAGATTGGACCGTCGGAAAGATAGGTTTTTTTTTTTTCTACCCAGGGCCTCTGGTAGAAAAAAGATAACACCTGGTTGAAGGATTGACATGTTGAGTGTATTTTGTGATCCTGCATACGTAGCCCAACATGGCAAGCACTTCAACATTGAAATACCAGAAAAAGTAAGTTGAGAACGTATGCTTATGGAAGCTTGGCCATGTTCAAGCTTCAACCAAAACTTAGACTGGAAATATGTTTACAGTTTCAACCTTCACACAGACAGTAAACGTGTAACCTTGTTACAACGGGAATGTTGTAATTTGAAGGAAAACAACAGAACGTTTAAGCTCTGAGCTACACAAACACGTTGAAAGCACGTTGTAGAACCAGCTTTAATTAACATAATATTCTGCTCTATATAGAGCTTTATTTATTCATTCTATGACTTAAACTCTACAAAGAGCTTAACGATGTCAAAAACAAAAGCTAATTCTGCAAGGAGCCTTTTCTTTACTATTGTTGAGGGTACGTCATTGGATGCAATGACGTAGTAATAGGAGGAGTATTAGTAGTAGTTGTTATTGTAGTATTAGTAGCAGCTGTTGTTTTTGTTGTAGTATTAATAGTAATAGCAGCAGCAGTAGCAGCATTAGTAATAATGTTGGTAGAATTACCGACAATATGTAAAGTAAAAGGACACAAGTGCAACTGATGTGGCATTTTATTGTGGCAACGTTTCGCTCTCCAGGTAATGGCTTGATAAAGCTCCTGGAGAGCGAAACGTTGCCACAATAAAATGTCACATTAGTTGCACTTGTGTCCTTTTACTTTGCAGCAGCATTAGTAGTAGTAGTAGCAGTAGTAGTAGTAGTAGTAGTAGTAGTAGTAGTAGTAGTAGTAGCAACAGCAGTAGTAGTGTTACATATACGTAGCACAGGTCACTCAACGCTCATAGCATAAAAATATATATGCAACACTCACAATTAAAACAAGGATAAAAACAAAAACAACAACGAATATAAACAATAAGCACAAGAAAAAACTAGCATCACTAAAAATCTTAATATATTATTAAAATGAAAAAACTTAAAGCTTTCCCCGAGGTCCCTAAAGGGCTCTCGGTAATTACAAAACCTCTCGATAAAACAACATAAATGAAGAGGGTAAAAAAAATGTGACATGTAATGGCAGTTCGTGACTGGGAGCACAGGGACACGCGTAAATGAACGCTCTCTTCTTAATCTCCAACAAATGGAATGAACGAGGCAGTGGACTACGAAAGTTCATTGACTCGTGGAATTCACACGAGTGACGCGCACCCACGACTAGCTAATAAACGTGTGTACTCTGCTCACCTAGGTGTGACTGAGGGGCTCCAGCTCTTGGTCCCCACTTGCAATTTGTCTCTCGAGTGTCTGTTGTGGCTAATATTAGTTATGTTAGTAGTCTTTTTAAGGTGTTTTAACCCTAATATATTATATATATATATATATATATATATATATATATATATATATATATATATATATATATATATATATATATATATATATATATATATTGTGTGTGTGTGTGTGTGTGTGTGTGTGTGTGTGTGTGTGTGTGTGTTCTCACCTAGTTGAGGTTGCGGGGGTCGAGTCCGAGCTCCTGGCCCCGCCTCTTCACTGATCGCTACTAGGTCACTCTCCCTGAGCCGTGAGCTTTATCATACCTCTGCTTAAAGCTATGTATGGATCCTGCCTCCACTACATCGCTTCCCAAACTATTCCACTTACTGACTACTCTGTGGCTGAAGAAATACTTCCTAACATCCCTGTGATTCATCTGTGTCTTCAGCTTCCAACTGTGTCCCCTTGTTACTGTGTCCAATCTCTGGAACATCCTGTCTTTGTCCACCTTGTCAATTCCTCTCAGTATTTTGTATGTCGTTATCATGTCCCCCCTATCTCTCCTGTCCTCCAGTGTCGTCAGGTTGATTTCCCTTAACCTCTCCTCGTGTGTGTGTGTGTGTGTGTGTGTGTGTGTGTGTGTGTGTGTGAAGCATAACCATTTTTTTTTAAATTTTCAGGAATTTTCTACTCTCATTATTAGATCAACAAAAAACAGCCAAAATTACACAAACATATAAATTAAAAAAAGAAACTGTAAACATTTAAAATTTTGTAAAAAAAAAATGTCTAGTAAAAATGATGCCCATCAATATTACCAAAATCAAAAACAATGGCAGCTGACAGGAGCTGTTTAAAGTGCTTAATTAAGGCTGAAGATGGTCAGTACAGTACAGAGCTTCTGCTGTTCTCCATACCATTTCTAAAGGACAGCTGATTAGCGCCTTAGAATAGGTTAGGCTAGGTTAGGTTAGGTTAGGTTAGGATACATTAGGTTAGGTTAGGTTAGGTTAGGTTAGGTTACATTAGGGTGGGTTGGGATGGGTTAGGTTAGGTTAGGTTGGATTGGGATAGGTTAGGTTAGGTTAGGTTAGGTTAGGTTAGGTTAGGTTGGGATAGGTTAGGTTAGGTTAGGATACATTAGGTTTGGTTAGGTTAGGTTAGGTTAGGTTACATTATGTTGGGTTGGGATAGGTTAGGTTAGGTTAGGTTAGGTTACATTATGTTGGGTTGGGATAGGTTAGGTTAGGTTAGGTTAGGTTAGGTTAGGTTAGGTTAGGTTAGGTTAGGTTAGGTTAGGCTGTGATAGGTTAGCTTAGGTTAAGTAAGGTTAGGTTAAGTAATGTTAGGTTAGGTAAGATTTGTCAGGAAACAGGATAAGTGTTTCCTGACGCGGGTCTTAGTCATATGATGACCTGCCACTGGGGCTTTTGGTCATCTGACCGAGGCCTTCCACTAGCTTATCCCTCCACCCCTTTAAAAATTAATATAATACTAACACCTTGAAAGACGTCTTGCTCACAGGACTGTCTTGTGAATGCTTCTCTTCCCTGACTCTCGTTATAAGACCGTTTCACCCGTTGTGTCTACCTATGTATATGCTGTTCCTCCGATTGTGC